TGGCAAATACACCAAACATTTACTAGCTTTAGAATACTTTTCCTTCTTATATATCAATACAAATAACCAAACATATTTATTTTGAATAGATCGGTTTTTATTTCAGGAAAGCACCCACTTTTCCCAAGAAAACTATTTGAAAAGAAGCAAAATCTTGCTTTGTAAAAAAAAAAAAAAACTCATACAGTTTGTGCAGTTCGTATTTAAATTTTCTCGTGTCTTTCTTGTTTGGCAAGTGCTGTACAACTGGGTAGTTTCATAGATATATAATTCCTTATGATTTCATTTTCCATCATTAACGGAGCCAACTAGGATTCTCACTGAGTCAAAACTACAGTAGAGAAACTCTTTAATTTTATACCGTATGTAACTTACATTGACTTCAGTGTACATGCCAAGTTAAGTGAAAGGTTTTTCCAGGGACTGTCTCAAAAACAGGTGTAGCTACTTGATAAATATATGGGGAAATGCTAATTTTTTGCTCTTCAAAGCACATTATACTAAAGTTACAATTGATGTTTTGCTCATATTAGAAAATGTTATGAGTAATGGTATTTTGTACATTGTATGTTCTAATCATTTAGTTTCTAGAATAGACATCTCAAAATGCCCAAACGAAATTTTACTGTTTTTAAGGAATACTACAAATATGACAGATACAAAGGAGTTATACAAAAAATTACAAAGTTGTAAGCTTGTCGAATTTCTGTGTATACATTTTCAAGACCTTATATTGTACACTTTGGCTTTTATAACATTTTGTTATCCCATCCATAAGAACTTTAGTTTATCCTAACGTTACAAACATATTTTTTCGACGTCAATCTAGCTATCGTTTAAAAAATCGTTTTAAAAACTTACTAACGCTCTTTTATGAAGGAGTCGAGAAAGCTCTAAACCTAGTCGGCCCCCTTAAGTTTAGAAAATAAGACAATGCATCCTTCGAAATACCTTCAAATTGTACGTATATAAAATGTAAGGTTAAGCTAATTGATCCTTTTTTTTTTACGAAAGTCATCGTGTATTTGGCAACATGGGTTATACATGTGACATATAGCTTGGTTTTTTTAAAAATCCAATCAAATGACACGTTCCAACCATAATTAGATTACATGTACACTATGTATTTGAATGGTCCATATGCAATTTTTACCCGATTCCATTTCATATGTGTAGGCAGAGTAGGGTGCCATGTTTAACAAATGAATTATAGATTTATAGAAAATGCCAAATAAAATTGCATAAGCCAAGTAAACTTGTAAATAGACAATTCAACCGTCCCTGGCTTGTTTCCTACATGTAACATACAAGGATATAATAAATATCCGGGTCAGTGGTCAGATGGTGATGGTGTGCAAAGTTCAAATACGAAACATAAAAACGACGTCCTTTATCATCTTATAACTACTGTATTTCATTACTTCACCAGTAATCAACTCAAGTAATATCTGCAATGACAAGCTACGAAATTCAAGTGAAGACAGGGGATAAACTGGGTGCGGGTACAGATGCCAACATAGATATTGTTCTACTGGGGAGCTGTGGGAAGCAAACAAAGTCGGCCAATCTTGATTGTTGGTTTAGAGATGACTTTGAACGATGCAAGACCGATTGCTTTACCATACAAGATATTACAGATATTCCTGAAGTAAATGAGATCAGGTTGCGAAGAGACAAAGCGGGCATGTTCTGCGATTGGTTCATTGAAAAAATTGAAGTAACCAATCAGAGGAGCAGAAATACTAGTGTTTTCCCAATACTTCGGTGGATTCGCCCTTGCGTTGACCTCTATGTTGGACGATATGATGTCTCTCTGCCACAGTTTGATTCTCGGCCGCAACAGCGCAGTGCTGAGTTGGATGAGAAAAGGAAGCTGTACCAATTTGAGGAGAAAGCCCCAGGATTACCCATGCAGGTACAGATGTAAACCTGTCGTTATATATATATATATATATATATATATATATATATATATATATATATATATATATATATATATATATATATATATATATATATATATATATAAATTTATTCTGAAGTAGAATATATTTATTGTCTTTGTTGACTTATTTCATCGTAGGTTAAAAATGTTCCTGAGGATGAAGAGTTTTCTTTTTGTCATGAGGTAGGTGCCCAATTTCTAACTTTGCAATCTCTGTAGATGTCCAAACAATTATACGTTCACCCTTTTCTACAATGGTACATGTGTATCTTTTTAATACATTTTTTTTATTAATTTGCAATCTCTGGATATGATCAAACAATTATACTTTAACCATTTTTTTGCAATGGTATATTTTCTTGATTCATAAAGATGAACTAAATAGTTATTGATCTTAAAAATCTATGAACAACACAAATGTTAGAAGAGGGTATAGGGTAAATGATCGGGAAATAACGGAAAAAAACCTTCGTCAAAGCATTGTATTAATAATGGACTAACAATTCATATGAAAAACGTCAGTCAGCATTTATATGAAGAACGTCAGTCAGCATTTGACTCAGTGATAAATTGTCCTTACTCACAAGATCATTGTATCAACCAAAAAAAACTTATGAAATGATGACTTTAAACGAGACTAATGATATTTTTGTTTTCATAAATTTGCTTGTCAATAATTTACCTCGTTTTAGAAATTGTTGATACGTATAACAAAATTTATAGCGGGTTTCAGTAAATTTCTACCATACTCCTCGCTGAAATATCAAGAGTAATCAAGGAGAAACTTCAAAAGTACGTACAGTGCAACAATATATACGAGAAGTGGTTAAAATCAGATGTGGATAGTAAGAGGAACTTCTGAAAAAAAAATGAAATTACAGAATTGAACCCAAAAAATATTAAGGAGATTAGGATTTCCAACTATCTATTTGAAATTCCCACGAGTAACAATTGCGTCCCGTTAATAGCATACCTAATTTTGTATTCATATAAAGCGGAATTTGATTAAAATAAGGTACGTGAAAATAAGAAAACATTTGTTGTTGTCTTCAACTCGACAATTAACAAAGTGTTGTTGATTAACAGTGGTTATTTCTATTCATATGTAAATACACCTTACTTATGTAGCAATACAATCTTTTACATGTACACGTTTCACTTGATTTGATAGGCAAGAACATGGTCCATTTGTGGACATTTTCTAAAACGATGTCAATTATTGACAAATAAATAAGTAAATAAAAAAATATCAACATTCTAGTTTAAAGTAATCATTTCTTTAGTTCTATGGTTGATACAATTACCCTGTCAGTAAACACAATTTCTCATTATGTCAAATGCTGCTTAGTGATACTAATTTCATACTAATTTATAGGCCATTATATTCGTGGGTACACACACAAAAAAAAAAACGAACATGAACTAGATAATTTTAAGGCTGTACAATTTTGTTCAAAGTCTTAAAGGTGTAAGAGGGTCCATTAACAAATAATTTAAATATTTTTATGGCCATCAAATAATTTATTGGAACTTGTGTATTGATCGGTTATACGTATCTTGGGAGAAACTCCTCCATGGCACCTGATCCAATCTCTAAGGTTTTGGAGGGCTGTGCTTGGTCTATTTTTATTTTATATTGCTTAATGGCCTTTTGAGCTTGAAAATTTTTTTTTATCTCTATACATTTCACTTAAGCGATAATTCAAAATTAGTAAATAATGTCAATAGTGGAGACAAGGGCTTCTTCTTTTTTTCTATATTTTGCTATATAGAAAAAAAAGAAGAAAATGACGTGGGGTAATTTTAATTTATAAAAGCCCTTTTACATTATCAGTTTGACCTGAAACGAAGATATGTCGGTCTGAAGGCTTGTACAACATTGCAGATGATTTTTGGAGATGGATCATGGAAAACTTTAGACGACTTAACAAGTGTCTACTCAAAAACATTTGGAGAGCCGAAGGTAACATATTTCTGTTGTATTATTTTATTTTAAGCATTGCTATAGATACATTAATCTTATCGTTCTTATTGTCTTTTAAAGTGTAAAACTTAAAGAAATTTCTTCATGGGATTTTAATAGTTTAAAAATGGATAGTGTAAAGTATGATACTTAAATATTGCCAATAGTGAAAATCTTCTGAATCGTTTATCAATCGTACTACAAAAATCTTGCAACATACTTTAAATCATTAGGGGATGAAGGATTGGGAGAGCGATCAAAGTTTTGGATGGCAACGATTAAACAGTGTCAATCCCAATCTGATTCGGCTCTGTACACATATACCAGACAAGTAGGGGCCATAATTAATGCTTATCTTCAGACTCAATTAATACATCGATTATTATATTTAAGAAATAAAATGCATGTCACTATTATGTATGTCAACAAAAACAACAATCACGTTTCCAGTTTTATTCAGTGATAAAAAATAATGGTATTCTTACAATTTGAACTTCATTTCCTTCAGGTTTGGGGTGACCGAGGAAATGATCAAACCTTTTCTAGGTGAATTGAGTTTATCCCAAGCCATCACTGACAAACGACTGTTTATCATTGATCTAGAAATACTGGATGGAATTTCTGTAGTCGATGGTTATGTTGTAAGTCGCATATACGTATATGGAATTTGTGTTTATACACTAGATTTAGTACTGTGGTCGAGTGTAATAGGCTATTAAATATAATACATACCGCGAAAATAAATAAACACGCGATATTTGTTATGCGTGTGATTCACCCAACATTTCTTTTGATGCATCCACTAAATAGTAGTTAGTAATAACAGCTTTAAAGATGACTATATATTTGATAAAATGTTCTCTAAGCTCTTTTTCTGAAAATTACAGTGTCCGACTCCCATCGCCCTTTTCTTCGTTAACAGTAAAAATCAACTATTGCCAGTTGCGATACAACTTTTTCAACAAAAAGGATCAGATAATCCAGTAAGAACAACGTCTTGATGAAACTTCTAAAAGAAATCGTATTGAGAGTAAAGGTTATTGAGTCTTTACTGTAAGATCGTCCATTGAATGATTGAGGTATGACCTACTATATATTTCAGGTGTTTCTGCCCAGTGATCCACCTTATACATGGTTGATGGCCAAAATGTGGTACAACGTAGGGGACTCAAATTATCACCAAGGAATAGCTCATCTAGGTAGAATATTATACAGTTATTGACTGGGTATGAGGGCAACATATGATTTGTTGGACCTGAAGGTGTAAATGTTGCCCGAGGCCGCAGGCCAACAATCTAACAACAATCCAACAAATCATATGTTGCCCGAATCCCAGTCTATAACTGTTTTGTTATACCCTTCACTGCTCACTAATGATTTAATAAATACACGCTATATTATCAATTAGCTTATATGGAAAATTATGGCTAAATCAGTAAATATAAAACAACATGTGAATAAATAAAATCAATTTTATTTCTATTATATCACAAAAATTATTAATCACAAAACATACTCTTCCCTTCTTCCTTACCTTGGTATTAGCAACAACTCTTGCAGCTCTTAACTTCGGCTATTTCCGTGTCGCCGATAATGAACGATGATTAATTATTTGTGACGTAGCAGTGACTTTGCGGTTTAACAATTCTTATGTTAGACCGGCAGGTCGGTCAATAGTGAAATTGTTGGATAATAAACATTTCTTTTATTGGACTTTTTATACGTAATTAATATATAGAAAGCTCTTTATAAAGGTAAAACAATGGGAAATATTTTAAGGAAAGCATAATATATCTGTCACTCTAAGTACATTTAGTACTATACACATGTAGTCGCAACCACCTTCTTTGTTGCAAAACAGAATGTTCATAATTTTAAATGAAAAATTGTAGAATGTTTTTTATACCTTTTTGTCAGGTTTGTCATAATTAAATATTCTAACTATTAACAAACTCGAAAAAGAAAGTCAACAGAATTAAAAGTGGTAATCGATTCAAGTTTTTTTTTTATTCAATACCAGTTGAGATGTAATTTTGATATAAAAAAGTCTTCCTTGATTTAATTAACAAATTAAAAAAATCAACAAAGGTAAAGTGTCATAAAACAGGCAAGTCTACTTAATATTTCTGTAATAAGAATGAAGAACAAAATGCTATGTGCATATAGAATAGGTTAGCGAGATGTCAAATATAAGTAGATGATATTCAATACAATTACCTTTATTTAGGTTTCACACATCTAGCAATGGAAGGCGTGTGTATAGCAGCCAATAGATCTCTGTCTCCTTCCCATCCCATGTTTAAACTGTTGGCGCCACATCTTCTCTATATTATTGCCATCAATGAGTATGTATTATAAAGGTTAATATATAAAAAGTTATATAGTTACGTAGAAATCTCCGAAAGCAAGAACTAAATTAATCTTAACAATGTATTTCAATATTTCCAAACTGTCTACCTTTCTCTTACTGGCGCGTGAAAGCTTTTTGAAAGGTACAACGATTTAATCAATATTGTTCTTACAAGGTTTAACGCAAGCGTAAAATAACTATGTAACATTCTTTTATTTTTCATTTTGGACATTATCAGCCTCGGTCTTGACACACTTTTATCACCTGGAGGATTTATTGATAAAACAATGGTGGTGGGATTCAAAGGTATTCTTGAACTAATTGCAAAAGGGTGAGTTTATAATGGATTGTTTTTTTTATGTTCCCCGCAAATATCTACTTCTAGAGAGAAAAAATATAGTACATGTTTTATTTACGCTGAATTCACTTGTGAAATTAATGAGTCTCGCAGATGAACTCATTAATTGATCTATTGCAATTTGTGTCTGTGTAGAAATAACTGCCCTACAATTGGTATGAAAAACATCGGCTTAACCTCTTAAGTATCGAATAAGCTGGGATGTTATATAATCTGGAAACGCGTCATGTTACTGTATACATAGGTTAAATATACTAATTTATATTCATTTATAGCATTTTTTTTAAATATAGAAAATTAGAAATTAATTCTATATATGATTAGATACTTTCTAGTGATTTGTTGAATCTCGTTCTTTTTAATAAATATGATGTTTTTTATGTGTAAAGAAAAAGAAGGCACAAGCCTTGTTTTACTTTATGAAGAATATTAATTTTAAGTTATATATCATTCCCATGTAAATCAACAAATGATGTTAAAATGTTTTATGTAACCCTAGTGATCTGGCTTACCGCAAAAGTTGAAATATAACAAACAATGTATACTGAGTGAGAATTGTCATTTATTAAATGACAATAAGTATATAACACAGATAAAGTTAAGGGGAGATCACCGGGATATTTCCTGAGTACAAAGAACAATAAATTTGGCAACGGTATCTCCCCTGTTGCAAACAAACATTACTTTGGCAAAAATATTTTGACAAATAAAAAGTATATAAACCACAAAGTTGTCAAAACAAAAAGCTCCTGTCTATCCCTGGGACAAAAACACTCAAAAAATCCGCAAATCACTTACTTTTCACTGATGTAATCTTGTTTTGTAGTCTTCCGATTGGTAAAAAACAATGCAATAAGTTCGTAAAAACGATAAAAACACTCCTGAAGACGTAAATTTCTCAAAACAAATTTGTGAATTTCTTGGCACTTCTAAATCATGAAAAGACGCTATCTTGTGTCACGTGATTTGAATAAGCGTTACGATTGGCTAATTACAACTTTTTTCAAAGGAGACAGCTAATAACACAATAAGACTCAAACAAACATGAAAGTTGAACTACATTACATCATAGATTACATAAAGGCTATTATTTACAATAATGCTGTATGCTGGTCATTAAGATTGACTTATTTAGGTATTGTAAACAGTAATATTTGTTTTAAAGAAATCTGTTGAAACTGTGTCCATGTGTCTTTAAAGACTATGAACTTCAATAGTTGACTGATATTTATTTTGCACAATTTAAAATGCCTTGGTGCTAGCTGCTGTTTGTATTTTTATATAAACGTGTAAAATTTTATATGAATGAAACTACATCAAAATCATTTTGTAGAATTTTAGGATTTTCCTTACTGAAAACTACAGAAGCACAATAGTGCAGACCAAAAATAAAAAAAAAAAGAAAAATGAAATTATGAAATAAAGAAAAACGAAATTATTAAGGTCATACGCAATGTAGTTTGAGCTTATTGGGTTCTTCCTTGGAGTTGAAGAGTTCCACTAAATGAAGGAACCCTGTGCAATACTTTTAATGTTTATATATGGATTTGTATACCTCTTCTAAAACAAATTTGATGAAAAAAAAATCTGTAATTTATGCTTTGTAATTTTTGTACATTTTTCTTTGAATAATGCAAAAATGTTCACAATTTGATATCTTTTCAAAACCCCTGGTAACGCACGCTCATTTTTTGTCTGAGCAAATGTAATGGTATTGTAAGTTTAAATTTAGAATATCTTGAAAAAGTATCAGTAGGTGATGTACGTTGCGTATGCCCTTAATAAAAAAAAAACGAAATTATTAAATAAAGAAAAACGAAATTATTGAATAAAGAGAAACGAAATTATTTAATAAAGAAAAGCGAAATTATTAAATAAAGAAAAAACAAAATTATTTAATAATTTCGTTTTTCTATATTTATTTCTGGTTTGCACTTTTAGACTTCCGTATGAACTACATATTTAGTTTATATTTCTTTTAAATTCTGTATATCTGTCAAAAATCTAGGTGGCTGTAAAGATCATCTTGTTTTACTTTTTCGTTCATTTAAAATGTAACTAATTTTAAATAAAATTTAATTCGTTTAGGACAAGCTCTTGGAGAATGGATATAGAAGGAACCTATCCAGAATTTTTGAAAGAAAGAGGGGTTTGTAACATCATTACTCTTTCTTCTTTAGTTTTTAGGAGTATTTTTGACCTTATTAAATGACATTTTAACACGATTTTGGCAAATTTGCAGGAGAATATCCGTGCCAAATTCTTTCAGTCATTTTTCTAATTTTCAAGTATATTTTCGCACAATTCAGAAATGGTCAATATCCCGAGTACCCAATCTCCGTCACCATAAGCATCCCACTTTTCTATTCAAATTATATTTTAAATTTTTTATTGTTTGCTACACAGAGTAATAAACATAAAAGTTGTTTTACTGATTTATAAAAAGATGCAGTTAATACATTAGCGTGATACACGTTCTATTTAGAGGTGCCCACAGGCACTTGTTTCGGAAATAAATTTTTAACCTATAGTATAACAATAGCTGTGTTATTATTATTATACTATAGGTTAAAAATTTATTTCCGAAACAAGTGCCTGTGGAGGTGCCACATAAAACTACAGTGTCATTCGTTCCAATAAACCAAATTCCATTACAGGGGTCCTCTACAATATGCCAACGTAATGAAGACAATTTTTCCAAAGTTTAATTTTTTCATACATTTTTCCTTAAATTTTGAAATATAAAAAAATCTATTATAAAATTTCCAAATAGTATTAAGGTAGTCCGATCCTCAGGTTTATAATATTAGCAGTTAAGTAATCAAATATACTCATAAAAGTATCTCTGAATCCATAAAGTTATGTAAATTTATCCACAGTATTTCTTTAAAGTTAAAAATTACAGTTAATCATATTATATAGGGAAAATTGTCAAATTTCCACTATTTTTGCAGAAAAAGCGAATTGGGATATCAGAATTTTCTAATTGCAAATTGATCAACAAATATATTTCTGGTTAAAAAATGATAGGTATCAAGGCATTTAGAGAAATTGTCATAGTTTTTATACTTATTTGGTATTTTTTGTCCCCCGCTTTCGCGAAAGCGAGGGGACATTAAATCTCATTCGTCTGTCCGTCAGTCTGTCCGTCTGTCAGTCTGTCAGTCTGTCCGTCACAAAAACTTTAACCTTGCCCATAACTTTTGATTTAGTAGAGCTATGACTTTCATATTTCACATGTGTATGCCTTGTGACAAGACCTTTCTTTGGGTACCACCAAATTTGACCTTTTGACCTTGACCTTGGAGATTGACCCACTTTTACACATAAATTTCAAACTTTTACTTTAGCCATAACTTTTGAATGGAAGGTACTAGGACTTTCATATTTCACAAATGTATTGTTTGTGGCAAGACCTTTCATTGGATACCAACAACCCTGACCTTTTGACCTTGACCTTGGAGATTTACGTACTTATGAAAAAAGTTAACCTTGACCATAAGTTTTGAAAGGTGAGGACTAAGGCTTTCGTACTTCACATATGTAATCCTTGTGAGAAGACCTTTTACTGGATACCAAGTACTTTTACCCTTTGACCTTGACCTTGGGGTTTTAACTACTTTTTAAAAACTTTAACCTTGGTCACAACTTTTAAACAGTAGATACTAGGACTTTTATATTTCACTTATGTTTTCCTTGTTGCAAGACATTTCATTGGATACCAACAACCTTGACCTTTTGACCTTGACATTGGAGATTTACATACTTATGAAAAAACTTTAACCTTGACCATAACTTTTGAACGGTGAGGGCTAGGGCTTTCGTACTTCACATATGTTATCTTTTTGAGAAGACCTTTCATTGGATACCAACAACTTTTACCCTTTGTCCTTGACATTGGAGTTTTAACTACTTTAAAAAAAACTTTAACTTTGGTCACAATTTTTGAACGGTAGATACTAGGACTTTTATATTTCACATATGTATTCTTTGTGGCAAGTCCTTTCATTGGATATCAACAACTTTTACCTTTTGACCTTGACCTTAAAGATTTACGTACTTATGTAAAAACTTTAACCTTGACCACATCTTTTGAACGGTAAGGGCTCGGGCTTTCATACTTCACATATGTAATCCTTGTGAGAAAACCTTTCATCAACAACTTTGACCCTTTGATCTTGACCTTGGAGTTGACCTACTTTTAAAAACGTTAACTTTGGCCATAACCTTTTGACGGTCAGGATAAGGGTTTTCATCCTTCAAAAAAATCAACTTCAATGATAATTTCTAAGAAATGACATATGACAGGATGTTCATATTAGACACAATATGTCATAAAAAAAAAAATCTCACCAACAAAGACACCGAAAGCGGGGGACCACAAGTCTTTGAATTTGCTTGTTGTGTTCTATTTCCGACATGTATTCTATAATACATAGTGTAAAAGGCTTTTGCTATCATTGCAAGACACCACAAATCAATTTTTATTTCATATCATGCTAATAAGCATTGGTATCTAAGGCTGGATTCAAGAAAATCTTATTTCTCTCAAACTGTATCAATTTTTTTTTCTTTTATAGGGTACAAATGTCAACTTTTATAAGACCTTTTCTAAGACTTCCTAAAACCTTGAATCTTATAAAGATGAATAAAATGAAAATTGTTGCATGAAAAAAATTCATTTTCAAGCTTTATTTTGATGCATTTCAAATTAAATATTAATTTTTGGAGTTATCCTTCCTGGCTGAGGATCAGATATCCTTAAACTGGAATTTTATAAAGGCATCACCTATTACACAAATAAAGTCAATATCACGTATTTTAAATGTACACTGTAATAATGTCGCGCTAACGTTATCTCAATATGTCGTGTATTTGTACGACTGACAGGTAAAAATGAGCATGTTCACGCACCTGTCATAGATATCGATGGAATTGTGCATAAGGGAATTCACACAGAATTTTATATACCTAAGATAAATTAAATTTAATCTGTTTTACGCATTGAAATGTTAAAGTTCTTTCGTTTGAAACATACTTTGACAGTTATATTGCAAGGATGGAAAAATTCTACCAACATTCTATCAGCGTGACGATACTCTTGAATTGTTTGAGGCTATTCGAAATTACGTCACCAAATATGTCCATCTCTACTACGGTGCGTATTCCTTTATCTGGTTTTAAAAATAAATTTTAGGATAATATTTAGATCAAACAAAAGACAAAACAATTGACTGAGATTCGAAGTTAAGAAACAGAAACATACTCGTAGATATCACACTTTTTTATTTGTAACTTAATTTTGAGTCATATGTATTCCTTTATTTGTAATGTAAGTTTTATTTTATACAACAGACACACCTGATAAAATTAACAACGATGCTGAAATTCAAAACTTTGGACGTGAATTAACAATGCCAAAGTGTGAAGAATGCTGCGGAATTTTGGTAACAATGCTATTGTTTTCAATCAGATTTAGCTATTATTATGAAAAAGGTTTCTCAAATGTGAAATATAATATATTTGATAACATTGCACATCTTTGGGTTAATCGTGTTATATGGTGTCTGCGAAAATTGAACTCTCCTTATTATCTGAAAAAAACCCAACAACATCAGATTGCTGGTATGGCGTTGTGCATCGTGTGCACATTTTCCGGTTCTTCTCTATAAAGACCATAAAAATCAACTAAATTGAGAAATTCATGGCCTCATTTCAGAGTTTCTATTGTACGGTTTAGTGCGTCATTGCTAAAATAAAACATTGGACATGTATTTCTTTCTGCAATCATTTTTGCATCAGGGTCTAATTAGTGAACAAACTAAGTAAATGATAAGTAATGAACTGTGAAAATCAGGGCCCAATGGGTTAAGATAGAAAGGAGGGTTATTCTATATACATGTATTATACATGTATTAAACATGTGCAGTGTAAAATTTAATATATTATTTTGAATCCTCTCTGCAACTGCTTATTAGCAGTCAATATTTACATGGTAACGATGAGCATGGTGACCCCACCAAAAGTTTTTAATGCATGGCTAAGCCTCGGGGGATCTCGTGAGTGAGACTCTTCTGACTATATAGGAAGACCGAATTTTAATCTTTAGTAAATGCTTTCTCTGTTCCTGGGTACATGTACAATGTACTTAACAGGCAAAATATGTACAACTATTATAAAAAGTTATAGAGGGTGTTTTCTATCAGACTTGTAAACTTCATATTCACGGGTACTGAGTTCACTCAAGTGACCTATTGTTATCTGTTTTTGTCTGTCGTCGTCCGTCGTGCGTTAATACTTAAACATTTTCAGCTTCTACTCTGCAACCACTCAACCAATTTTGTTATAAACCATCTATACGTCTAGGGGAACAAAAATTATGAAATTCAAGGTCCCTGCACCCCTTGGGCCTGAGGGGTGATGCAAAAACCACTTAAATCAATGCAATTTTCTTCATTAAATAAGTCAAACTGTTAGCATGTTTGTAATAGCATTGAGTCCTCTTCTAAAATTGTGAAATTTATAAGTAGGGGTTCTAGTACTAGGGCGGGGCTTTATAGGTTATTTAGTGAAATGCATGAGTTCTTTGAAAATCGCCTTCTTTGCTCGGGCTTTTTAAATAAACTAACCAAGTACGTTGTTATAATGAATAAGACTGCCTCTTCCAAAATTGTGAATTTCATGGTCCCAGGATCAAGGGCTCTAGTGTTAAAGCGGTGCTCTTTTGGTTATATAGTTAATGTGCATGAATTCTTTGAAAATCTTCTCTGCTCCTGGATATTAAATAAACTAACCAGGTTTATATAATGAGCAAGAATGCCTCTTCCAAATTTGTGAATTTCATGGCCCCTTGAATCGGGTTATGGTGTTAGCTCTATTGATTATATAGTGAAAATACATTAATTATTTAAAAATCTTCTCTTCTCTGCTCCTGTGTATAGAATAAGCTAACCAAGTAGACGGTTACTTTGAATAAGGGTGCCTCTGCCAAAATTGTGAATTTCATGACCCCAGGGATAGTGGTTCTAGTGTTATATTATATTATAAGTTATATATGTCTATTGATATAAATTCTTGAAAAATCTTAAAGTCTTAGCTCCTGGCCCCAGGATCACGAAACATCTTATGCTTAAGTCAAAATATTCATGTTTTACTAGAATTAGTAAAACGTTACTTAAGTCTAAGACTGTTTCATGATCCTGGTACAATGATATTAAACGAACTCACTATGTATAAAATTATGATGAGGAAGGATGCCTTTTCCAAATTTGTGAATTCCATAGTCCTTATGTCAAGGGTTCTGGTGTTAGGTGGTTATATGATTATATTGTGAAAATGCATGAATTTTTTATTTTTTCCCTTTGCTCATGGGTATTATGCCAATGATCTTGGTACATATTTATGATGAAGAATGGCACCTCTTTCACCTTGCTTAATGTCAAGGCCCCTGGATCAGAGGTATGGGAGGTATACTGTCTTAAAATAAATCAATGCTTTGAAATCTGCTCTTTGGTATTCATCAACCATAAATAATTAAATCAAATTTATATTAAAATTTCCAAAATTTTGAAATACGTGACTTTGGGTTTAGTGGTTCCTGTGTGGTGCGGTGCACAACTGGTTATAAAGTGGAAATGCATTTTCACTTTGTTATTCTCGTCTACCTCTGGGTTTTAATTGACCAAAGTAAGCATGCTTAGTGTGTATTTTGATAAGCAGCTGCATAACATGCATTGATTTATTTTAAGACAATATACCTCCCCATACGTCTGATCCAGGGGCCTTGAAATTAAGCAAGGTGAAAGAGGTACCTTTCTTCATCATAAATATGTACCAAGATCATTGGCATAATACCCATGATGCAGCTGCATTTCATTTCCGGAATTTTTGGTAATTATCAACTTTTCATTTCCGACATTTTTTAGTTTTTATTTCCGAAATTTTTTTGTTTTCATTTCGGACATTTTTCAAATACATATGCAGTACCTATTGTAAAAGTTTTGATAACTTTACTTATGAAAAATTTAAAGGAATAAATCATAAATATATCATTGAAATCCAATTTCGTAAATATATTAGTGACTTGGACATAAGTATGGTGCTGTCACTGACATTTAATTTAGTACACATTAAATATGGTGAAAAAGTTTAATGCTCATTGAACTCTTTTACCTAGACTTAGTGCTACATGTATGCACACATGTATACTAGATGGTTTTTTTTCTAAATTATTAATATTTTAGTGTAAATACTTTTAAAATTCAATTTTCTTTTACTTAGAAAAACATTGAATTGCCGCGCAGAAAAGAAAAGAAAATTATGTCGGAAATGAAAACAAAAATGTCGGAAATGAAATTAAAAAATGTCTGAAATGCTATGCATGTTTCCGGAAATGAAATGCAGCGGATAAGCAATGGTGCCTCTTTCAAAATTGTGAATTCCGTGGCCTCTGAATTAAAGCACGAACCGAATTTAATTGCTGTGAAGTTGTTACATGAAACTCAGTCGACCTGTTAGGTCCGTGGGCCTCTTGTTAATTTTAATTGTTGAAGTTATTTTCCTATGATTACCCAGCTATGATAAAAAAAATGATTCGGTGTTACCTTAAAATCCTTTAGGTACCCAGTTTCAATTTCTTTCAATGAAACAAACTCTAGTTTTCTTTATATATATATTAGGGCGTTCCATTCAAAGACGGGAAGTTCAGTTCAGCAGAGGACTTGATACTTGTGTTTACTTCCGTTATTTACACCTGTAGTGTAGTACATGCTGCTCTCAACTTTCCACAGTACGATACCTATGGATTTCCCCGAACTATCCAACAAAAATGAATGGAATACCCCCAAAGGATAAGGTACTGACCAATGTATTTACAAATAAACATGAAGTAACAAAACTACCATAATAAAATGTGAGGTATATGCATTTCCGAGAATTTTGGACTAATTCGAGTGCGCGTGACTTTGCGCATATTTTTAATTCCATGCAGTCGCATAAGATAAGATAATATTTGATTAAGGTCGGGTACATCAACAAATAAAATTAGCTCTGAAGAGCTATTTTCTATTATGACCTTCTGTCATGTTCTAAATTTTGATTTACCGGGTGGGAGTAAATACACAAAATTTAGTACTCCCACCCAGTAAATTCAAAATTTAGAACATGGCACCTTTAACTTCATTAATATCCTTACAAACACAGATACATAACGGGTTCCTGTAAATGTTCTACCGAGGTTCTTTCTTTACTCCTCACTATGATATTAACAGAATTGAAGGAGAGACTTTAAGAATACTGTGCAACAATATATTTGAGAAGTGGTGTAAATCAGATGTGGATACTTAAAAATTCGAAGGAACTTGTGGAACATTTGAAGTCACAACATTTGATCAAAATCAACAACATAAACACCACTTTTCAACTTGATGTACAACAATTTAAGTCTAGGCTTTTTTTATATCATTTATAGCTGCATTATTTTGCAATAAAAATGGAACTCTCAAACTTACTTACCTTGTCATTGGTCATTTGCAAAATTATTTTGTTAAAAAATAATCTAATTGTATATACAAGTAGTATGAAGTTGATATCAAGAAGATGCCCGAGTTTCTGATTGACAATATCTATGTGTTTTGGAGGTCACGTCTTCCAACAATCTTTTGGAATTCTCATCGGTACCAATTACGCCCCGTTATTTTTGTATTCATTAAAAGTAGAATTTGCTCGAATTCTTATGCGTGAAAATAAAATAAAACACTTCTTGTGGCTGCAACTCCAAATTTAGATATATTGACGATGTATTGTCATTTAACAATGGTTATTTCCATTCTCAAATCGATACGATATATCCTGGTGAGCTTGAGATAAAAGATACCACAGAGTCTGACACATCTGTTTCACATATATACATGATTTATTATGGAATTAATCATGGTCATCTATAACAACCAATCTATATGACAAACAAGATGACTAACTTTTCAATTGTCCAGTTCCCTTCCCTTAGTATATACAGCAATATACCTTCATCACCTGCATTCCCATTCAAGTCTCTCTCAGTTGATTCGATAAGAGACAGAGCTATCGCCATTTTTTTTTCACATGTATATTTTATAATAATATTTGACCCCACGTCCTTGATCTTTGTGTAGGTGTAGCTTAACATTTTAGAAGTCTTTCTCATATAACTTTTAAATTCTACAACTGTATATGTTTAGTTTTTTAAATGATGCACAAGACAGGACACACAAGCAAGACAATATTCCACATAGGCGTCGGAACGGGGGGGGGGGCTTATTCCCCTCCCCCACTTCTTTTTGCAAAGATAGACATAACATAGGCAATGAAAATTTGGTTGTACGTATACGTTAAGCCTCTCTACTTTCCAAAGAAACGTTGCAGTTTAGGTCAATAAAGGGGTAAAGGGTAGTGATTGGAAAAGAATTGATACTGAAAAAAGTTCGACCCACCCTACCACAGGCACTTGTTTCTGTAATAAATTTTTGACCCATAGTATAATAATAACACAAAGTATCTAACTCCGATATACACCGAGTACCCCCCTGCCTTAGAATCGCGCTCATTTCCACTTTCATAGGAAATGCACGGGTAAACTATTTATACCTATGTCTTCTACGATAATTTATCTACACAACCATATCTGGCATGCTTGTCTTTATTTTCTTTAATCTCCGTATTCAGCGTCAAAACTCTGCTCGCCGAGTGGAAAGTAAAACTGTACCATAGAATTGTATGTTCTAGTATCGGGCAAAGAGAAAAATTAAAGAATGCGTGGGTTTAAAAATTCAATTCCAGATTTTAAATATTGCATGGAATAAATAAAATTTCATAGTGTTATATTTTCCATAAAAACACTACGATGTTTTTACGATATAATTTTAGAAACAGATTTTTAGCCAATCAAATTCGAGGTCTAATTCTTTGCCCGAGACTAGAAATTCGAATCTTTGAATTTGTTTGTTTTTATTTTATTTATTTCTTAGGCAGGGTTACTAAAATTTGATATATTTGATTTCTTTTAATTCAAGAGGCCATTGCAAGAAGAGGAAGTAGTGAAGGCTCTTGTTGACAGGTCTTCAACTCTGGAGACTATGATTATCGGGAAGATCCTGAGTGAACGGAGTACTAACGCTCTCGGTGACTTTGAAGTAAACTATATTTATGACCCACCAGCAGTAGCAATTGTGGAAGAGTAAGGCATCTTAATGTTACGTTTATATGTACATTTTTTTCTAAAGAAACCATAAGTCTGTTACACTCTCTTTCCTGTTTTATTCTCACACAATTTAGGTATAGTAAGCTAATTCTCTACAAAACATCCTGTTTATTGAAAGTCCTTTAGTTACATTGTCTTCTCCAT